CTGTCCATCAGAGATTTTATTTTGGCAGAGTCCTTCTGTCTCCCACCACCTGCACTGGGTCCAGGGTGCATCCCAGAACAGAGCTGACCTTCCTAATGAGTTTATCCAACCTCTTCCTCTCAGCTGCCGATAAACTGCTGCTCCACCATACCACACTGTAAAAAATGACGGATGCCACCACAGAGTCATAGGTCTTTAAAAGCGCTCCCCGGACTCCAAATGACCTCAGCCGCCTCAGCAGGTCGAGTCTGCTCTGACCCTTCCTGTAAAGTTCATCAGTGTTGTGGCTCCAGTCTAGTTTATTATTCAGGTGAATCGGCAACAACCTTTAAAAGTTGGTCTTTACAGTCAACAAATTTCGCTATCAAGTGATTTGACTGTTAACGTGACAAAGCCTAGGTATTTATCAGTGTTATGAGAAACTTCTCATTGTTCCCGCACCTTGCTACAGCGTTAGCATTACCATAAGACGTGAACTCATTTCTTCACCTCTGCCCGGTATTCACACACAAATTAGCCCAACTTTTCAGAGACTGTGCCCAAACAATAACTGAGCTTTGACATCAGTAAAGTTCACCTTCACACTCTTAAATTACCCCCGCTTGTGTTGACTGTTATAGAGTAAAACACAAGAGCTACGGGCAGCTTGCCCTAGCTGCCACCTAAGCTAACCTGACAACTAGCTGAGGGGCATCAAACAGAATCGTTTCTTTTTGCTGACAACTAAAGTACTCACTCTACCTTCCTTGTCTGACATCATGTTTCTCCCACGTAGCTGACAGAAAACTGAAAGCTGAAGTGTGGTTAAGGTGTAGAGCCCCTTGAGCTTCGTCCAAGCTGGTCCTCCGGTGTGCCTGCAGACCCCCGGTACCGTTTAAACCACGGGAGTACAACGGCACGCTACGAACTAGCTAACCGAGCAGCCGACTGTGAGAGACGTGGGTGCATTCGCGCGCTCAGTACAAAGAGGGGCGTCTTCCCACCAATTACGGCGCAGCACCTGTGCGCGTGGCTATCGCAGACTCCGGTGCAGCTGCAAGTAATTTCGATGGCAACCTAGAGCACCAGCCATAGCAAATAGGAACAATGACACTATTTTTACGTCAAAGCACGCACACCAGACACGAATACTGAGAAAACTAATGTATTGTTATCCTTACTAAAATATACTGTTACAAACTGGACGTTATGAAGGTAAACACCACCCGTGTGCTTATTGTGTTTCTTGGCATTTCTGCACACCAGGTAGAAAACTTCGTCGTTGTTGTTCTTCTGAAGGCTTCGTTTGCGGGTTTTTTTTTAATTAAAATGTAATTTTAAGGTCATAAACAAATGTCGCTTTAACCGCCTGTGGTGCCCATATAATGCTGGTGACAGAATGAATGATCTCTGGTGAGCAGTTCTCATAGCACGTGATACTGTCACTTTTTCCACTACACTCGTGCCAAAAGACAACAAGCCTTTACCTGTTTGTCATTGGTCAACAGTAAATTCCCCCCTTTAGTATGAGAACTTTTGATTGGCCGACTCTAATAAACCGCTTTCCCATAGGCTAAGCATGACGCGGGCCCTTAAAACGTGAAACATAGCTAAATCCCGGTGTAAAGTAGCTAACCTCTGTTCAAGTGCTCCGAACACAGTCGGTATGTCTGCGACTGATATGTCCGGTGTGTTGGATATCCTTCGGTTATTGTATCGGCACACGCAGACACTGGAGGAGTTTTCGGACAGCATCGTGTTCAGAGAGGGACAGAAAGCAGCTCTCATTGAGCAGACAGATACAAACCGTTTCAAATCGTTCGTTAGGAGTGTTTTTGTGTGCTTTGACAAGGAGCTACAGAAGGTAGCGAGCTGCAAACAGGTAACGTTTCGCCCTATTGAAAAGTATACATGTACATTTCCCAGGTTAGCCCTGAGGAGTTGACACGCACTCCTCTGTGGACGTTTGAAGCGGTGTAGCTAACTCTGCCTGCCATGCTGTTATAATGTTAAAGCCAGGAAACCATGTTACACTCCCATATTTTTTTTTCTCATTGAAACTAAGCTGGGAGTAAAATGTGCGCTGCTGGAGGATATTTCAGCTTCAGCGAGGTCCTCTTTTTTTCTTTTGGGGCACCCCCCCCCCCCTTTTTTTCTCCTTTATTAGACATGTTTAAATGTATCCAGTTATAATGACAGATAGTTAATATCGCCCGATATATTCGTCCGGCTCTACACTAGGACACGGGGCGGGCCCCAGAATAATGCTCTGAAAGGGTTTTCACTGTGCTAGGTTATACGTGGGATATTTCATCTCAGGATCTTTCGAGTGCCATGACTCTTTGATTTAATGGCTCTAGTTAGTAAGGCAAGCTGTAACTTTGAAGTAATTTTAATCACATAGAAGAATAAAGAACTCAGATTATTGTTTTGTCTCTGGGCTAATATAGCAAAGAGTTTGCCTTCGTCAAGATTTAACAGCTTAATGGCAGATGGCCTCTTCTTATGTATTCATACTTTCCACAGATCTGCAGTCTGCCTGAACTACTGGCGTTTGTTCTCAACACTCTAAAAAGAAAAAGAAAAAGGAATGTCTTGGCACATGGGTATAATTTTCAGACGCTGGCTCAGGAGGATCGGGATGCAGATTTCCTCAAATTCCAAGGCGATGTAACACAGAGTGCTGCCTACATCCACGGCAGTGACCTGTGGAAAAAAGTCATAACGCGTCTGGGCACAGACATCACGCAGTATCTCCTGGAGAGCTGCTCTGTGTTTGTGGCAGTTCCTCCTTCGTGTGCTTTCCAGGTGTGCGGCCCTCCAGTCTATGACAGGGTGTCCATGACCACGGCCTCTTGTGGGTTTTTTCTCCAGCCGCGAGTCAGGAAATATAATCGTACCAAGACTGAGAGCTGTCGAGGGTCAGTGAGTTTGAAACAGAAATGCACAGTTGTGACTCCTGCAAGCAAGAAGATGAAAAGAAGGAATAAAGGAGGGACAAAGGGGAAAAGAAAACGGGAAACTGGAGAAGAGGAGGAGGTGGCAGTTTGTTCAAGAAAGAGGAGGCGAGTAGCATCTGTAGAACATCAACAGGCGATCCAACAAGTTGGCTCTGAAAAGGAAGGACAGGCCGTGGCTGTGGAATCAGCACCACCTACAGCTTTCAAACAGCCTGTTGAAATGCCAACATTTGTACTTCCCTTGGAGGGTGGTCCTAGTTGGAGAACAGGGATTTTCCCCCCTTTACCACCCTCGCAATGTTTTATCCGTACCCTGGGATTCCTGTATGGGGGCAGGGGCATGCGTGGCTTTCTTCTTAACAGGAGGAAGAAGACTGCTCATGGATCCAGAAGGCTTCAAGGACAAGATCTGGTAAGAATAGTCTTCTTCGAGGGACTAGCGCATTTGAATGGAGTAGAGAGGAAGCCTAAAAAACTCTCCCAGCGGTTCTTTGGCTTGGTCCCCCTGTTTAGGCAGCTCTTACAACAACACAGGAGATGTCCCTACACCAGAATACTACAGAGGTTATGTCCATCAATGGAGGAGAGCAATGCAGGACAGGGAGAACTAAACTCACTCTTACCTCAGCACTGTGCACCGCACAGGGTTTACCTGTTTGTCCGGGAATGCCTCTCTTCTGTGATCCCACAAGAACTGTGGGGCTCTGATCAAAACCGGCTGCATTTCTTTGCCAGGGTCAGGACTTTCTTGCAAAGTGGCAAGTTTGAGAGGCTCTCACTGGCTGAACTGATGTGGAAGATAAAGGTGAATGACTGTGGTTGGTTGAAGAGGAGTAAAACAGGTGAGGTTAGCACCAATGGTCTTTTTTTTTTTTTTTTTTCATGGCTTCGTGTTTCATGCCCGACCTAACCAATGTAACTCATCTGCAGGCCGTTTTCCACCCAGCGAGCTTGCGTATCGGACACAGGTCCTGGGTCAGTTCTTGGCTTGGCTTCTGGATGGATATGTTACAGGCCTTGTGAGAGCCTGTTTCTATGCAACAGAGAGTATTGGGCAGAAGAACGCCATCAGGTTCTACAGGCAGGAAGTCTGGACCAAACTGCAAGAATTGGCCTTCAGGTACACTCACACAACATTACTACAGTAGCCAGCATACATACAGACATGAGGCATACGTCCAAAAAAAAGGAACAAAATTTTCTTTTCATGTAGAGGTCACCTTTCCAAAGGCCAGATGGAGGAGCTGACTCCAGCTCAGGTGGCATCCCTGCCCAAAGGCACCGTCATCTCCCGCCTTCGCTTCATTCCCAAGACTGATGGCATGAGGCCCATCACACGAGTCATAGGAGCAGATGCCAAAACAAGGGTACGCACCAACAGTTACCTCAGACTTGTCTGTTATTACATCCTGTGTCCATGGGCTGGTTTTTCAACTTTTCTTTGGTCCTCCCTACAGCTCTACCGAGGTCGTGTCAGGGACTTGCTGGATATGCTGCGGGCCTGTGTGCGTGCCACTCCATCACTACTGGGATCCACAGTGTGGGGGATGACTGACATCCACAAAGTTTTGTGCTCTTTGGCACCAGCGCAGAAAGAAAAACCACAACCCCTCTATTTTGTTAAGGTGAGTTGTTACATTTAATAGTTTGGCAGAGAGCTTTCAATTTATTTTAAGGATAATACAGCTGTAAATTTCAGCACACTAATATGGACATATTGTATAGGTAATGCATCATTTAGCTTTTTCCTCTTTGTTTAAGATGGACGTGAGTGGAGCCTATGAGAGTTTGCCGCATGACAAACTCATAGAGGTGATTGGCCAAGCCCTGTCACCTGTCCACGATGAACTCTTTACCATCCGCCGCTATGCCAAGATCTGGGCAGACTCACACGAAGGCCTGAAAAAGGCCTTTGTCAGACAGGTAGCCATCCGATCTGCAAACATGCTTATCTGAGAGCATACATAGTATTAATTAGTCCAAAATGACATTTATGGTAATATTAGTTAACATCACATTACTTAAACTAGTGTTATACCTGCTAGCCTGGTGTATTTGTTGGATTAAAACGCATACATTTTAATTTACATGTTATTCTTTATTTTTATTATATCGCTACGTACAGTGTGACTGCAAAAAGGGCTGCTCATAAGCACCAATCAAATCAATAAAAAAAACCATTTTTCTTCTTCTGTGCAAACTAAATATTCATTATATAAACTAGTCAGTCGGACTGATTATTAGACACTGTAACTTACTGTCAGTGTCACCGTCAGATGAACACAGGCACAGTTATGCTTGACAACACATTCCAGTGACTCTCAAAGTGCCACTGTACTAAAATTATTTAACAAAATGTATTTATGAACAACAACATGCCTGCAGCATACATTTAATGTTGCTGTAGTTCAGCTGCTAGACATATTATATGTAATTTGTAAGGATTAGAGTGTTATAAGCGATGTAGATGTTGATAATCCTGCGACCTTACTCAGTTTATATAATGAGTTTCATCCAGATTGATCCGTGCGTCTAGGAGGAGTTAGTGTATGTATGCCTGTTCCCTATCATAAATATAGTTACATGTCTGGTTAAACCAAGTCACTCCAGCTATACTGACATTATGACCAACACCAGCACAACCATCTAGATCAGCAGTGGGAAATTAATTTTAACTGATGGAAATTAATGTGTGCCAGACCCTGATCTAAGTGCACAGGTCAACAAACACGTCGCTGAACCCTTTGGCAGACATGGCCATCAAACTAAGTTCAACTCAATTTAAGAAGAAGAATCTGTGAAAACCACCATATATAAACATTATTTATGAGTGAAAGTCGGTCTTTTTTTGTTTTGGTTAACACAGGCAGATTTCCTGGAGGATAACATAGGATCCACCAACATGAAGGGCTTTTCGACGTCATTGCAGAGAAAAGGCAAAGTTCATCACGCCGTCCTGGTTGAACAGGTAACTCTGGCTTCATCGCGTGGTTTGCTGTGGCTGGGCAAATTGTGTGCTTAAGTCCTGAACGCATTACTTTTCCTTGCTGCAGCACTTTTGCTCAGATCTTCATGGCAGAGAGGCATTGCAGTTCTTTACCCAAATGCTAACTGGGAGTGTTGTTCAGTATGGGAAAAAGTAAGATTCTCGAACACCGTTTTCTAAAACATTTTGATGTCATCAAGGCAGTTACGTCTATTTTGTCCCTTTATGTTTCAGGACGTACCGTCAGTTCCGGGGGATTCCTCAGGGATCGGTTGTATCTAGTTTGCTCTGCTGCCTTTGCTACGGCCACATGGAGAATCTCCTGTTTAAAGATATTCCAGGACACAAAGGGTACATTAGACCTCGCTGTATTTCAGTCAGCTCCAGCTTGTATACATATTACCCGTCATGGGCAGAAGAGGGCACTCTTTCTGTGCTGTAGCTCTTGATTTGGTCCACTGTGGCTGTTATTTTGCTCTCCTTGTGTCCTGCAGGTGTTTGATGAGACTGGTGGATGACTTCCTTCTGATTACACCAGACCAACATGAAGCACAAGCTTTTCTGAAGTATTACTTTCAGTTCAGTTTTAAATATTCTGTGTTACTGCACAATATATTTTGGAGTAGGGGACTGGAATGGGATTAGCAGTTTTCTGTAGAACCCCAAATAAATGCATCCACATATATAGTTATTCTGAACAGCTTGCTTGAGACAGTGGATGACCTGGTGAGCTGCACAAAGTCTCAGTATAAGAGAAATAGAGAGTTTTTACATGTATTTATTTATTTTTCAAACTACAAATAATGCAAAGCTGCTTATTTTAGTGCATTTATAATGCCGCTTGCTCTTTGTGTGTAGGATCTTGCTGGCCGGAGTGCCACAGTATGGTCTGGCAGTCAACCCGCAGAAGGTGGTTTTGAACTTTCAGGTATCGGGAAGCGCGGCTTCCTGTCCCGACATTCGCATGCTGCCCCCTCGCTGCCTCTTCCCCTGGTGTGGACTGCTGCTGGACACCCACACACTGGACGTCTATAAAGACTATTCCAGGTGAAAGGTCCATTCCAGCTGTAATTATACTGCACAGTTATTGTGTTATATTGTGGTGTCTCCTTGGGCCTGTTGTCAAGGCTTTATAGTTTATGGCTGAACTTTGTTCCTACTCATAAACGTGAGCCAATTCTGGCATAGATGAATGATCCTCTGGTCAAACAAAAATCTCTCTGTAGTTCTGAATGTTTTGTTGTTTTTAAATTTTCTTGCTTTTTTTCTTGTTTCACAGCTATGCTGGACTGTCTCTGCGCTACAGCCTTACTCTGGGTTCATCCCACTCTGCAGGACAGCAGATGAAAAGGAAACTAATGGCTATCCTCAGGCTCAAGTGTCATGCCCTGTTCTTTGACTTGAAGGTCGGGAACAAAAATATTTTTAAGACGTTTCAGAATGCCGTAACTGTTAAACATTGACACATTCTTTTAGATCTGATGATTGTGGACAATTATGGGAAGGTGCAGTTTGGCAAAAGCTGAGTACACAGATCAAAACATGCTGTTAAGAGAAACTTGGACTCATTTCTCATCTTTCTTAAGATATTTTGATCAGCTATTTTTAAACTATATATTCTTTCTACGAAATGTATATGTTAATATTATACAGACACTGAAGCATCACCAGCATGCTATGTCCAATGTCTGTGTCAAAAGTACAAGCTAGAAAGATGCCAATCAAGGTAAATGAGTCCTTGAACAAAATATCCAATAAAATGACCGACTGGTGATTTTAAAAAAGTAATTTCTACAAATGCAATATAATTATACTAATGGCAAAGAATTAGTTGAACTTTTCATGTACTTATTAGATACATTTGACAGGTTGTAATACTGCCAGGTTTAGGTGTTCAAACTAATGACATGATATTCAGAGTTTGAGTAGTACAGCTTTGACTGAAAATAAAAGCCTGGTTGCTCACGAAGTCGGCTACTGGAAAGAAAGATTAGCTGGTGAGAGCAATCTTATTGATCTGGCAACTTTGCAGGATGTCAGAAGAAGTGTTGCACAGATATGAAAGGGTAGAAAGCTTTTCTTTTCTTTTTTTCAAGACTGGATGTTCGACTGGACCATTCTGTTGCACATTAGCTGGCATCCTGGAGATCATTGTCTTGTTTCATGGCTCAGTTTCAGCCAAGCTTTGGCTTTCAGGCAGATGCCCTCACATTTGATCCCAGCGTACTTTGTAATACACGGGAGTTTATCGTCTCAATGGCTGTATCCCAATTCAGGGTCTGCAGCCTTAAAGTACGCAGCCTTAACGGTCCACAAGGGCCGCGTACTTAAAGACCGCTAACGCCGGAAGTGCGAGGCTTGTAAAATGGGACGGTCTAGCCTCCGTCGTGCTGCCAAGGTTGCCTAGCAACCATGATACTAACAGCTGGAAACGTGTCATACAGCTTTGTTTGACAGAAATGAAGGAGAACATCTTTTATTTGTTTGTTTGTTTCTACATGAGCTTTGATCATTCTCTGTAAGATTAAGGTCAGCTATTGGATGGCGTATATTTTAAAGTAAAGGCTTTAAAACCAAGTTAGTACAAACGTCACATAACTTTGCCGACATGTGGCCAACAGTAATGTTTTAGTGTTCTTCGTTATTAAACATTTGCACATAAATAAGTGACATAATATTCAGTACTTACTTATAGTTCAAGTACGGAATATAGCCCGTCATCCACTGTTTTTTTTCGGCAAAATTATCCACACCCAGCGCCGCGCTATGCATTCTGGGATATGTTGGGCCACGAAGTCTACACCGCCACATCCTTAAAATTCAGGGAAATGAAGGACGCATTTGAGGGCCGCATTTCGAGCAGCCTTCGAATTGGGACAACCTTCGTCGCGTCGCTGTGACATAATCGGCCTTAAAATGCGGCCCATAAGGCTGCAGACCCTGACTTGGGATACAGCCAATGACTGCAAGGTACCCGGGACCTGTGGCTGCAAAAAAAAGCCCAAATCATCACCCCTCCACACCGTGTTTGACCGTTGGCATGAGGTGTTTGTGCTGATGTGCTGTTTTTATCAAACAGATTGGAGATTATTGCTTTTCAAAATAATCTCCAGTCTGGTCTCATCTGTCTAAAGCACATTGTTCCAGAAGACTTGTGGTTTGTTCGAATGCAATTTTGTCAAGCTACGCTGCGCTGCCATGTTTCTTTTTTTCTTTTTCTTTTTTTCTTTTTCTTTTTTTTCCTTCCCTCTTACTCAAATTTGGTCACACTTGGCTCAGAACAGGACGGCACTGGTCAAAGCTCGAATACTGGGCCTTCAAAATGCACAGCCTAAAACCAATGTGCGATATCACTGAGGCGATGTCCATCTTTTTATACAATTGTACTTTTGAGGAAAAACCAAAGTGACCATAAAGCAATCAAATTCAATTCCCAGCTGTAAAGCATGGCAGAGGGAGCAGCAGGGTTTGGAGCTGCTTTCTGTTTTGACTAACAGGAAAATCCGACCTGAGCAATCAATGAAGAAATCTTGTATCAGTATCTTAGTAAACTACTTGCTTTCCGTTACATTAATCTATACATTTTTCTCCTCAGACTAATTCTCTTGAAGCGGTCTACAAGAACATGTACAAGATGGTGCTGCTGCATGCGTACAGGTACTGTTGTCAGTGTCAGATTGGTGCATTTACCCACCTGTAACATCAAAATACATGGACAATAAACACAAACTGGGAACCTTCAACATGAATCGCTTCCAGTTGGGTAAAAATCTGGGTTATATTAATCAGTACCTGCACCGAGCTTAGAAATAATTGTCCCGTGGCTCCCCACACTCTCTAGCAGATCATTACATGAAGGAACCTTTTAAAAAAACAAGCGCGTCCATGCTCACAGGTGTACACACGGGTGCTCACACCCACAAACTACACCCTTTTTGGCTCCTACCTCAAAGCACACTGTGTGCTGTCGATCTTACGTGCTGCACAATAATGTTTAATATTTAGTATTTACTGTGATGTTGTTTATTCTATTACTCTTGTTCTCTTCTGCTTGTTTTCTTTTTTCTTTCTCAGCAGGTGATCCAGGTGATTGATATATGCATT